ATATATTGGTCAGAAATATACAATATGCCAATTTATGGCACAAATTAGGGCTGGGCGATATAAACGGTATAAGCGGTATGCGATATAAATTTGGCCCACGGTAGAGATTTTTGTAATACCGGCATATTGCAATAGGTCATTATGTCATCAAATTGCGCAGGCTCTGAGGCCAGCAGAAAGGACCAAAACCAAAACTAATGCTGCATTCAGCATTATTTCATATCTGATAATTCTGCCATTCACCGTCACTTTACCTGTTGATATCTTACTGTATTATTCATATCCATCTGATAATTCTCCCATTCAAGTCACTTTACCTGTTGATATTTCTGATGTTTATTCTGCTCATATTCATATTCTCATATTCTCCGCTGCTAATGTATAATATAGACATCTGTAAATACTCCGAACTAAGTTTGCTGGGAGAAGTATGGTAACTTGAGCACTATCCTCTCCTCCTTCCTACTTTATCTGTTTAGCACTTTTAGGATTTTGACTGTAGTTTGTTCATTGCTATTCACCCGTTGTCCCATTGTCCGTTTCATGGTACGATGACGGGATCTCTGAGCCTGGCCTCCTCCATCTACACCTGCGGACTGCCCCGCCCGACCCGCCTGGGAGTGCTTCAGTCCTGCACCGGACCTGTCCACGTTCAGCGGCCACTGGTCCACGTCCTGTAGCTAGCTTAGGTCCTGGATCATTAGCCTGTCCGTCCGGAGGAGCGGATCCCTTTCTCATATGGGTCTCCCTCCCTATATTAGTGACATGTTAGTCCCATATGAACCAGCCCGGACTCTGAGGAGCACAGGGACTGGACTCCTGCTGGGACTCTGAGGAGCACAGGGACTGGACTCCTGTTAGTGCCCAGAGTCAGAACTAAACATGGGGAGGCTGCTTTTCAGATTCATGCTGCTAAAATCTGGAACAATCTTCCTGAAGATGTGAGACAGGCCTCCTCTCTGACAATGTTTAAAACCAGGTTAAAAACGGTGCGGTTTAGCTGTGCATACAACTGAGGGATTTTATATTTTTATCTTTCGTTTTAATGTTCTGTAATTATTTATGATTTTAATGCATCTTGTTCAGCACTTTGAGTTGCCTTGTGTATGAATTGTGCTATACAAATAAACTTGCCTTGCCTTGCCTGTGGGTTTCCCTAGTGCTCCCCAAGGTTTCTCACTTTTTCCCACTGGGTTTTTTAAGAGTTGTTCCTTGTGGATGCAGGAGGGTCTTGTTGGACAGTTAGTGTCCAACAGAAAGGATTGGTGATGATCAGGACACTTTAGCATTCTACAACATGTATGGACATTTTCTTCTGTGTGTGCTTTATATTCTTCATGTGTTTTAACTGTTGATTCTCTGACCTGTGTTGGTGATTTCAATGGTTTTGTTAAGTCTCTGAGATGACTTCTGTTGTGACCTAGGGCTATACAACAATACATTGTATTGTATTGTAAGTGCAATTATAGTTTATCTTATTTTATCTTAAATTTATTGTCTATTATCTTAAATAATAGACTTTGATGTGTGCAATCTGAGTGCTCTTATTTCCTTTCTCTGCTGTAATGTGCAACAATGACACTGACATTTCTCCACTGTGCGACTAATAAAGGTTTATCTTATCTTATAACACACATAAATATATAAAATTTGATTGATTAATATATAAATAAGTAACTATCTTAAAAATAATAATAAAAAAAAATTAAAAATAGAAAATAGAGAGGGCACCCGCATGTATTCGCATGTATACATATACATAGGTACACATGTATACGTCCATCCATATTCATGCATACACTATACATACACCCCTGCATATATGTGCAGATACACATCGCCTATACACACACAAGTTCATTTTTTTTTCTGCAATTATTTATGTATGTGTATGTGTGTATATATGTGTACATATATTTATGTGTTTGTGTGTATGTGTGTATGTATGTATATATGTATGTATATGTATGTGTGTGCATGTGTATACATTCGTACACATATATACCTTTTTTTGTTTGTGTTTTTTTTTTTTTTTTTTTTTTACTTGTTATTTTTCCCTTTTTAGGAACATGCTTACTTATTTACCCTTTTTACATAGCCAAACATAACTACGAGATACACTGTCAACCTGGAGACGAACTGGGGAGGGAGGGTGGTAGTGGGAGGGGGGGTTGTGTATATATAATAAAAAAACACGCACATAGACTGTACGTGCTGTCAACAACTGTAAATGCATCTAATTGTGTGTGTAACAAACAATAAAAAAAAAAGAAAAAAAAAAAAAAGTAACAATCTTGACTATTTTATGCTAGAACCTGCTAGACCTATATTGAAATTCACACACCAAATTATACTGCAATATATACCGTCTGTGTCCCAAATTATACCGCAATATGAATTTTAGGCCATATCGCCCACCCCTAGCACAAATAAAAGAAAAAATAAATTTTATTTCATGATAAATGGAGGTTCTGTTCACTGTATTTATGGACAGAATCTCTAGGCGCAGCCAGGGGTCGGAGGGGGTCCGGTTCGGGAACCACAGGATTTCATCTCTACTTTTTGCGGATGATGTCGTCCTGCTGGCTCCAACGAACCAGGACCTGCAGCATGCACTGGGACGGTTTGCAGCCGAGTGTGAAGCGGCTGGTGTTGTATATTTTAAATATAGACTAAAGGCAGATGTGAATTTGATTGACCCGGAATTGAACTCTTGTCTCTTTCCCAAGCAAAAAGACCTGTGCCCTCAGGGATTAAGTCACAAGGACACAGGATAAGCAGACGGGAATTATAAAAAGATATCGTCTTTGAACAAGGCGAATTATTAACGTTCGATAATAAACATTATCTGCTGACAGAGCAAAAGTCCCTCACCATCAGGCGGAGAGGGAATTCACCAACAGCATTCTAACGCCTCCCAGTGGACAAGGGACGTCAGCACACCCGGAAAGCCCCACCTTTGGACGCGTATGGATGACGTCATCAGAAGTCTCCCGTATATGTGCCCTCGGAGGGTTTTGAGGTCAGACAGGACAGGGGCAACGCACAGGGATAGAGCAGGCATAGAATAGGAGCTCTTTTGTTTGAATATTCTGTATCTGATTGTAAAGATAATTAAATGCAGATGTTAAACTTGGAGAATCTTTTTGTCTGATTTCTGTATCAAATTGTGGACACGCCAGCCAAAGGGAATTATTTGGCTTCACTGGGATGAGAATCAGCACCTCCAAATCAGAGGCCATGGTGCTCGACCGGAAAAAGGTGCCTTGCCCTCTGCAGGTGGGTGGAGAGGTCGCTGTATCGGACCGTTGTGGTAAAGCGGGAGCAGCGTCTGCAGTCAGAGCTGTATCGGACCGTTGTGGTAAAGAGGGAGCTGAGCCGAAAGGCAAAGCTCTCGATTTACCGGTCAATCTTCGTTCCCTCCCTCAGTTTTGAGGGCTCTGACGGAGAACTCACACTTTTAGACCGACACTGAACATGAGTGCACTCTTAAATAGGCCTAAGTACTTCCTTTCTTAATATCAGTGCCCTCATTTCAAGATAAATACTTTTTCTGTACTAGGTCTGGTTAATTTACTTGTAGAATCAAGCACACCTTTATGAAAGCAAACACAAGGCTATTTTAATCAAATCTAAAGTGTACCTAAAGTATGCTATTAACAGAAACGACCAGGCTCCTAATGCAAATTTCTCCGGGTTCATACGAGGTTGAAAAACGATGTAGTTCTAGCGCCCGGTCAGTAGTGGGCAGAGAAACTGTCCAAATTTACGTGCAGGGAGTAGCAGGGAGGTGGGGGTCAGATCAGGCAGGGATTTCACACCTTTTTCCCTCTCGCGGGTGTGAAAGAGCTCCCCGCTGTGCAGCGTATCTGAGCTGTCCCACTCTGCAGACTGGATCTTAACTCTTACGTTTTGACCCCCCTGGAACACAGTCTTCGTATGAACGGTTGATAGCAACCGGCAACCGACATCCAGCTATAGTGTTTTACTGCCACATTGTCTCTGTATAAACTCAGCCTTAGTGCATCCCTACTACCACTACTTCTACAGAATAAGGAATTCAAAGAGACATTGATGATACTAGTGGCACATGGAACACTGCTCTCTTCAACAGGCCGCCAGCCTTTTGATGTTAGCTTTGGCCCAAGCTACAACATGCTTGTGCCATCTGGCATAGTTTGCCATTTTGATTAAAAAAATGTAATGTGCTGAAACCTTTATAGAAAAGTTCCAATATGAATTATTGTGAAAAAAATGGTGCATATCCTCAGTTTATGGAGGGATATTGCATCAGAAGATAGATATCACAACAAAAGTCACAACCACTGATACCTTGCTGTGTGGAAAATTGTGGCGTTTTGTGTATTGTCCGTCTGATCTTTTATCTGTGATAATTTATCTATTTTACCACATGTTACAAACCCTGTTGTATTATGTCTTTGTGATGGTGTGTTTCTGTGTGTTTGTGCCTGTCGTAGGTATATCTTATCTGTTTTGAGATCAACCTGCCATGGGACTACGGATGAAAATTAGCCATACATGGATTACTCTGGCACATGTTGATGAATGTGCACTGTTCCAATTCAAATAAAGATTAAAAAAAAGGATATGAAGTTTTTACAACTATTTTGTATTGGAGCCCTTAGTATTTGCTTCAGAATCACTCTACTGCATCCCTCAAAATGATTTTTTATCTCCTTTACAATAACTTCTAAAGAAATAAAATAGACAAATAAAAAAGACACGTAGGTATTGGTCCAAAAGGAGGGATTGGCTCCTCTTTCCACATCTTCATTGAAATGTATGTCAGTACCTTCTATCCATACTTTTTTTTTATATAGGAATGCATGTTTTTGACCACATGGACAAACCCAATGTCTGTTGCTGAAGTGAGCAGATCAGGCAGAAGCGGGTGAGCAAGATGCCCAGCAGTACCCAACATACACTTCAACTGCCTTGGTGAAGTGAGTCTTGTCATACCTGTCTCCTTACTAGCGTACCTGGAGTAGTTGAAGAGGCGGCTGTCCCACAGGCTGTGATCCCCTCGGGGTGGAGCATGGAAGAAGCAGGAGTCGGAGCCGTCAAAGCTGTTCAGTCCATCCTCCGTGTTCTTGGAGGCGTGACTGTGCACCACGTCCAGGAGCACCATGATGCCCAGGGAGTGAGCCACGTCAATGAGCTCCTTCAGCTCTTCGGGGGTTCCATAGCGGCTGCACACAAGCACAGGGACACATGTAGCTGAGAAAGGGTTCAGGCCCAATGAGTTTTATGCACCTTTTAACTCATTGACTGCCAGCCATTTTTGATGACTTCACTGATTTTCAAGACTCACAGAATATTGTGTGCTAAGACTATGAAAAATATGAAACCAGAGTCTCAAAGACTGGACTGTCACTTTCAGCAGCAAAAATAAGTTTGTTTCTACCTTGTTTCATTCTCCTGTGATCTCCAGTCGAAAGGGGAGTGTGACAAAAAAGCACCAATCTGCTCTAGTATGCACAAATATTGGACATCTACATCTACTACATATAAAAACACTGGCCAAGAATGGTGTTCATGGGACACTGCTGTGCAAAAAACAAATAGTTTAGTTTTCGCAAAAAGGCACTTGGTCACGCCGAAATATTGCAAGCAAAATATTTTTTGGACTGATGAAAACACCACCATGTATGCTGAAGCTCACCAACCTCAACATCTCATCCCCACCGTGAAGCACGGGGGAGGGAACAACTCATTTGTGGCCGTTTTGCTGCGTCAGGGCCTAGTCCCAATCATTAATGGAAAAATTAATTCAAAAGCTTATCAGGAGGATTTGCAGGAAAACTTCAGGCAATCTGTCCGGCAGTTAAAGCTAAAAAGTGTATGGATGCTGCAACTACGTTAAGCAAATCAACTTGACAATGGTTTCAGAAAAAAACAACATATTCTGGAGTAGCAAAGTCAAACCCCATTGAGATGACCTGAAGACAGCGATTCATGCCAGACATCCCAGAAATCTGACCAATCAGGATACATTTTTGACCATTGCTCTTTACTGCAATGGTCAAAAAGGGGGTCAACCGGTAAACTGGCAGCTTTGGAACCAATATCTGAACAGAGCATAGGAAGACTAAACTCGGAAGATAGTTATTTCACAAACAATTGTAAATGGGATTCTGCAATGACAACACGGCTGACTAAAGAACATCTTGCTTTATAACCTGTAAAATTCTAATAACTAATTGTGTCCCATAAATAATTCAAATCTCAGCTCAGAGTTATTAAGAGAAAATATGCGGTCTTTTCAACAGAATCAGCATTCAGAATAAATTGTTGCCTCAATCCATTTATCCATTGTTATGGGTCCCATATGTTCAGGCATTCTACACTGCTAGTCCCATCATTCTTCACAACTGTTACTCATTGTCCTTTTCTTACATTGTTTACCTGATCTCCAGGTTATAATCTGATCACATCCCTTTGTATTGCATAAACCTGTGACTTCATTGGATTTTATCTTGGACAGGACACAAGCACTCATTGTTAGGGGAGAAAAACTTTTCACATTCTCCAGCGATCCCACTCATTCTGCTCCAGAGCCATAACTGTTTTTAGGCTTTTCGGTTAAGGTCTCCAACATTGTCTTTAGGACAAGTTGGTATCCAAAACCTTATATTTTATCACTTTTATTGACCTTGAGTTTTAGATTTTTCAAACAAAATGAGTCATGCCTGGGATTAACCAACACTGGATCAGAGTACAAAAAGTTAGTTATTACAACTGCTGAATAAATAGACAAATAAACTCCAGCATACCTTTGATTGGGAATCATTGTCGTCACTTACCAATATTAGATGCTCCATGCCTGTGAGAAATGTCTCAGTATTTTGACGGGTCAGATCAGCTAATCCAGTGTAAATGCGTGTATTACAGGAAGTAAACAAAAGAGTCCAGTTAAAAAGGTGGCATGGTCAACTTCAATTTTGATTTCCAATTCAGTCTCCACAATAAAACCTGTTATTATGGTACAACTCTGCACTCTTGGCGTCATCAATATTCCCCTGCCGTATATAAACACAAGAGAAAGTGCACCTACTGTCAATAATACGCCGCCCGTCTCTGTATCTGTTTGTATATCAGCTTTCCCTGGGCTCGAGGGATGCGTGGCAGAGGCTGCATTACTGCTTTCCCGCCATTCAATCGCGCTGGTTTTAACTGACACTGAGGGATCAATCATGGGTGAAATTACACTACATTACACTTTGGGTTTCTGCTCTTCTCCAGGCAAGGAGAGGGAGAGGGGGGATCCGCGCCGGAGATAAATAGTGCCACGAGTCCGGCTTTATCAAGCTCCGGCGCCGCTCTCAGGATTAACAGCCAATGTATTTGCAGAGATTAATGTGCGTGTCGCACATTCTCACCTTCATCTGAGGTGAGCTAGTGGATAAGTTAAGTCCAAAGTTGAGGCATTGTTTATTGTTGCGCTTAAATAATTGTTTTTCATGAAAAGTTTGACAACATTTTAGCTCCATCAATGGACTTGCATGAGACTTTATTTACCCAATTTAAAAACATTGGAATTGTATATATCAACTTCAGGAAATTAACTCTTGTGCATTACATTTGTGGAAAGACCAATTGATGCACAAGACAGCATGTTCAACGCAAAGGGAGTTCACAGAGGACACACTTCTGACTGGTTATATAGCTCTAAGAAATAAAGGAAACATTTGAACGACATAATGTAACTCCCACTTGATCCAATTTCTGGGATATCAGCCGGGGATTACAGGTGGGATAAAGGAAATTAGTTTGTCAGGCAGTGCAGGTTGTCCAGGTGTGTCAACCTGCAGGAGATGGGTCAGTACACCAGGAGGAGTTTGAACATCCAGCCGCAGGTCCATTACTTGCTCTTATGTAAGTAATGTTTATTTATATAGCGCATTTTACAGACCAAGGTCAAAGCGTATGTATGTAAGTATATGCCCCAACAAGATTACTTTCAGCAGGCCACTAATGTGCATGGGTCTGCCAAGACAGTCACTAACTGACTCAATGGGCATTTGCCATAGAACACCAAGATTACCAGTCACACCCATAGTATAAGTGACTATGGGTACAAGAGTCGGAACCTCTGACTGTGTAGACCTAAACTAGAGCATCAGTCAATCTGACTTTCCAGGAGCAGACAGATGCCCAATACGGGTCCACAGACTGTCCAGGAGTCAACTGATGCTCTGGTTTAGGTCCACAGTCTGTCCAGTAGCTGACTGACACTCTGATTCATATCTGAGAGGAGATCCCACAGGCGAGCATCTGTGGTTTCATCATCAGGAGCATGTGGAGGTCACACACACAGAGGGACATAGACTCGTATGAAAGAAGTAGACATTTTTTAATGTCTGACCTCAGTGGGATGAGGATTTGCATTGAGCACTCTTCCTACAGTTTTTCAATGACCGAATTTTTCCCTTCATTGAGTTGAAGTGTAAATGTTCTTTATTTTTGAGCAGTGATATGATAACGTATGGCCTAATTGCATTTTATTGCTTAAAAACAGGAATTTTAACCAATAACAGAGTGTTGTGGGCTAGCATTGACCCGCCTTGCAACTTAATCTTTTTGCCAAGGTGTGTTCAGTGCAATGGTGTAGGTTTGGTTCCAATCTTGGTGGGGACATTCACTACGACCTGAGTCTACACCCATTGACACGGGGTCCAGAGTTTCTCCTCCAGAATTTGTTGTGTAATCACACACTATATTTGCAATAGTGTGTTGCCTTCTATACTAAACTCAGCTGTAGACTGTTTGTTTGTTTGTTTATTTATTTCAAGTAAAGAAAGAAAAATAACATACACAGTCAATTACACTTCACAGTCATATGACTTGAAAAGGGTATGGAGGAAGCTTACGCTTATTCGATTCCAACCCCCCACTCACACCACATTACACCAAATACACACACTACACAATAAACAGAAACACGACACAGGCCCCAAACACTCCGACCATACACCCCTTTGCCCCATACAATACATGACAGACACAATGATAGTACTCAAAAAACAGTACTCAAAAGGCGTAGCTCCATCACAATTGCACATATTTACAATAAAGTCATTTACAGTCTTGACATTTGAAATGTATAAAGTGTAACTCATCTTAAACATTGACCCATACCCAGGCCATACACACACATGTGCATGTGCCTGTCTATGAGAGCATCAATCTCCCATCTCTTCCTGGTACTTATTCATTATATATCTTTTAAACATTTTTTTAAATTGCACAAGTTTTTTACATATTTTCAATTCCTCTGGAAGACTGTGCCACAATGTCACCCCCCTCACTGAAATGCAGTTAGATTTAAGGGTTGTCCTAACTTTTGGCTTATATAGTTTATTGATCCCTCTCAGATTATAAGAGTGATGAGCATCCCGATCTTGGAAAAGACTCTGGATGTGATCAGGAAGAGAATCTGTAGATGCTTTGTACATAATAAGAGCTGTTCTATAATTTACCACATCATACAATTTTAAATTAAATGAGTGAAAAAACAGTGGGTTGGTGTGATCATTATATTTTACTTTATGAACAATTCTAATTGCTCTTTTCTGTAGCGTAACTAAGGTAATAGATTTGTTTTGTTAGGTATCATTAATTTTACTTTATGAACAATTCAATTGCTCTTTTCTGTAGCGTAACTAAAGGTAATAGATTTGTTTTGTAAGAATTTCCCCAAATTTCTATACAATAATTTAAGTATGACATTGTGAATGAGTGATACAAAATAAATAAGGCATTTTGATTGAGCATGGGACTACATCTCTTCATCACACCAACACACTTTGCTACTTTTGATCTCAGATAATTTATATGAGGTTTCCAAGAGAGTTTTTGATCAATGATTACTCCTAAAAACTCATTTTGCGGTACCCTTTCAATGACTGTATCTTTAATGATTATTTGTACCGTCGTGTCTGTGGTCCTGTTTCCAAATAGCATTAGTTTTGTCTTTTTTAAGTTAAGTGATAATTTATTTACATCAAACCATGTTTTTAATGTATACATTTCTTGAGTTATTTGATTGAGGAGCTTCTCCAAATCCGCTCCAGAACATAAGATTGTAGTGTCATCCGCAAACAATATAAATTTCATGACTTTGGATACATTACAAATGTCGTTGATATACAGTAAAAACAGTGTTGGCCCAAGGATAGAACCTTGAGGGACCCCACACATGATGTTACAAAGAGAAGATTTGTGCTGTTCCATCTGCACAAACTGCTGCCTGTCTCCCAGATAACTCTCCAACCACCTCTGTGGCGTTCCTCTGATGCCATAGTGGCCCAATTTGTCTAAAAGAATATGGTGATCAATTGTATCAAATGCCTTTTTTAAATCAATAAAAATTCCAATAATAAAGTTGTTTTTTTCTATACAATTGGTAGTCTCTTCCACCATTTCTATTAGAGCTTGTGTTGTTGATCTACCTTGTCTAAAACCATATTGACTGTTTGATAATAAATTATTTTTTTCCATAAAATGTAGTAGTCTTGAATTAAATATTTTTTCTAGAATTTTTGAAAGCTGGGGTAGAAGGGAGACTGGGCGGTAGTTTGTGAAGCAGTGTTTATTGCCTGACTTGAATAGAGGAATTACCTTGGCTATTTTCATTTGGGTGGGAAATTGTCCGTATTGAAAGGACAGGTTGCA